TCATTTCCAGGGAATCCTACACCCTTTGGAGCACCAAGCATGCATGTGCTATGCATGCATAAATGCAGGCAACACTCATACACATAGAGTAAAAACAAACCTTTGAGAGGAAAGCCATTTTGCTTTGCCTGTGTCCTGTATCAGGCAGGTGAACAGGCAACTTAGCTAATTACCTTTTGTATGTTTATTCTACATCTCAAACTAGTCTGTCAGCTCCCGGGTTTCAGGAATGCAGCTCTGCTGCTCAATGCTGCCACTATCATTCTTGCAGGGGAACATGGGACTCTTTATAGTTCAAAATATATAGTTACAAAGACAACCAACCATCACATCAGAGCTGGTATATGCTGGAATTTCCTGCTGTCTGCACATTTCCTAGACCCTGTGTGTTCATATCATTAACATCACTGTCCCTGCAGGGGAAAGATGCAGCATTTCACACTGTGACAGAATGATACCACCCCTCACTGTGGGTCTGTGGGCAGTTAGTGTTGCTGGGGGAAGGTGCCGATTTCTGTAGTGGTGTAGTCACTCATGAGATGTTCACAGTCCAGGAAATGGGCCCCACCCACGCCCGAGCAGAAGTCAGCATCTTGACTTTTCCTCACCAACCTTCCCACCTGAACCTAGAGCCTAGAAGGCATCCTTTCTCTTTGTGCAAAGTGATCTCCAAGCAACAAGCCCCACACAAGCCCACTCTGACCCTAATTAAACTTGGGGGGGGTAGAAATGAGAATATTAAAGCAAGGAGAGTCTTGTTGGCAAAAAGAAAGGGTTCTGTGGGAATAAGAGGGAGGACAGAGAGGGAAAAAGAAGGTCACAAATGGCCGAGATCCAGTATATGCAGATGATAAAGTGTCTAAGGATTTTTTAAAACTAAAATAAATAGGACGTTGACTTGAGTTTTCTAACATGTGGGAAGTACTTGTTTAAAACATTTGTGTCAGGGTGTGGTGATACACAATTCTCATTTCATTCAGGAAGCTAAGGCAAGAGAATCATGTGTTGGAAGCCAACCTTAAAAGCACAGGGAGACCTTGTCTCAAAATATAAAGTAAAATAGTTAAATTTGCCATTTATTGGAGGGTTTTTTTTTTTTTAAAAAAACCAGGGGGTAACAAATACAAGGTCAAGAGGAAGATCTCCAGAGCCAGGAGGGACAGAGGAGTGGGACTTACAATCACTGCTTCAGCTCTCATGGAAAGTAGGAGCATGGATGCTGATGAATTATTAGCAAGCAAGTGGTAATTAAACATGAAATCCCCAGTGTGAAGCTTCTGTGCAGAGACTGGTAAATACACTGCTAGCTGCTGCAATAAACTGATAAACACTCCCTTCTACCCCTCCTCCTGCCCTGCCTCTCTTCCCCTTTGTCCCTGAACACCTCAAGCTAGTCTTTGCTCTCTTTTTTGCTGGCAGGAGCAAAACCTGCCAACTGCCTCTGACATTTTTCTTTCTCTTCTGGAACAGACAAGCCCAACAGAGTGAAATTCTACACACTTATGCCTCAATGGCTCTACACCTTCCACACTCCAAGCACATTGCCCCCACAGGATTCCACCATAGTGAGGACATGCCTGCCCATCATCACCAATCAGCATCTCACCGTCCACTCAGCAACTTTCCCAACTGAACCTATGGCCTGGAAGGAGTCGCTTGCTCATCCCTCTGAGTGATCTCCATGCACAAAAGCAAGGACAAGCCCACATAAAGGCCCCATATAAGTCTCACCTTCATGAAGGAGTTGAGGAGGCCTCTTCTGTCCATCTGCAGGAGGTTTCCCAGGAGGGGCAGTGGACGTGGTCCTGGTGGGAGGTGGCCACGGGCTTTTGGGTGGCCCCTGACCAGGAGCAGTACAAAGCCCACGAGGAGAGCAAGGAGGAGCAGGACACTGGGCTCCATGGTCCTGGTCTGGCCCCTGGTGACTTCACTGCACACTCCAGAGGACCTTTTATGCTGAGCCTGCCTCTCCACCTAGTTATGCAACTTGAGCTGTTCCCGCCTCCTATCTCATCACTGTCCAGGAGTGTGAGCACCCCTACTTCCTGCTTGGGCTGCTGGTGACCTGCTCACTCCCTATCTCCTTGCCCCACCCTAAGATGTTGGCAAGATCACCATGAAACAGATACACAGTACAAAAGGGCATAGGGAGTAATGTGTCTCGTTTTCTGGGGGTGAGTATACACATGTCAGTTCAGTTTTGTCTGTTTATGTAATCAAGCATGGACCTGTGTGTGTGCACTGTATGCTTTTTATAGTGAAAGGCCATTTCTTTTCGTTTGTTTGTTTTTGTTTTTGTTTTTGTGCTGTGACAGGTTTTCTCTGTGTAAATGCTCTGACTGTCCTGAAACTCACTCTGTAGCCCAGGGTGGCCTAGAATGCACAGAGATCTGCCTGGCTCTGCCTCCCAAGTGCAGAGATTAAAGGTGTGCACCACCACCACCCAGCTGGTCATTCTAATATGAGTGTGCAGATGTGTGTTTCTGTGTTTGAGTCTAGATGTGCTTGCTAGTCTACTCTTGCACATCTGTGGTGTGTTTGCATGTATAATCTTAAATTGTGGGCCTTTCTCTATGTTCTTAGCTTCATATATGAATGTGATTACATTTAAGTGACAAGAACAGTGTCGCATGGACTGTGCGTCAATGCATTCCCCACCCTGAGTCCTTGAGGAGCTGCAGATGTAATTTCTCTAGAGTCCCTATTGCACTCTCTGGCCCATGACAGCCACAGATGGGAGAAAAAGAAGGAGAAGAAATGAGAGGCAAGAGATTCAGAATTGGGAAGCCTTGGGAGCTAGGAGGAAAGAGAGGCTGAAACCTGGCAGAGGAGCAGTTGGGGCCTCTGGGTGTCTGGGATGGCTAGATTTTATGTCAACTTGATACAAGTTAGGGTCATTTGAGAGGAAGGAACTTCAGTTGAGAAAAATGAATCCCTAAAATCACAGTGCAGGCAAGCCTGTAAGGCATTTTCTTTATTAGTGATTGATGGGGAGGCCCCAGACCACCATAGGTGATGCCATCCCTAGGGTAGTGGTCCTGGATTCTATAAGAAAGTAGCCTGAGCAAGCCATGGGGAACAAGCCAGTAAGTAGCACCCCTGCCTGGCCTCTGCATCAGCTCCTGCCTCCAGGTTCCTGCCTTGTGTTCCCACCCTGACTTCCCTGGATGATGAACTATAAAGTGGGAATTCAAGCAAAATATACCCTTTCCTCCCCAAGTTGCTTTTGGTCACAGTGTTTTGTCACAGAAATAGAAACCCCAACTAAATAGTCTCTGATTGCTGTGACTAATGACCAATGGTTCCTTTTGTCCTCCTGGCTGTCTTCATAGGTCATGAAGCTCTCTGACCCTCTCTCTTCCTATCTTTCTCTCACAGTGACTCTACCCTCTGCCCCCATCCCATAGACTCTGCAGAAAGATGCAGAGACCATCTTAGTCTGTATATTACAGCTAGGTGGGCTAGCTAAGAATGTCCAGTTTCCTTTTTAGGTTTCTTCCTCAGTCTTAGTCGCATTTGCTGACACCTGTGTCATGTTAGAGTGTAACAGCAAGAGTCTCACCAGATAGCAGTGCTGTGTTCTTGGAAATAAGTACTTCCAGAATCACAAAATTTTAAAAAAAAAATCTGTTCATAAAAAATTGCTGGGTTTCCAACATTCATTCCATACCAATAAGTTTTATTTTGCTGACAGTCTTTCACACAACCATTCACTTTGTGGACTTTATTATTTGTCATTAACATGGGAAAATATAAACTGGTATAAACTTGTATAGTTCATGTATAGGATCATGGAAGGTTGCCCATATGATTACACCTCAAATGAGAATTTCATCTTCTCCCTGTGGTAACTTGTTCCTTATCCTGTTATCTGCAAAAGAATTGAGGACAAATAAAGAGCTGGAAGGTCATGTTGACTCATCTGCAAAGGAGGATGGGGGAGGAACAGAGAGGACCACGTAAACAACACTGGCATCTACAGCAATCTCTCAAATTACAGAGGCCACCATAGGACAAAATTGGCTGGAGATGTCTCTCAGTTGGTAGAATCCTTGCCTAACATGCACAGAGTACTGGTTTAATCCTCTGTTCCATTGTATCCACTTTCCTGTACTGTACCCTCTGTCTTGGTCTCATTCCCCTACATTGTCCCTCTACCTGACTCTCACATAGCTGGTGCCATCTCCTGGTTTGCCTGTACTTCAGAAACGTTGCTGTGTCTATTATTATCTAGTCATGGTGTGACTCCTTGTGCACCTGTGTCTCTCTGGTCTCATCTCTGACTCTCTGAGAGTCTGTTCTCCTTTTATACCCTTTGTCTTGATTACTCTTCTATTATTCTGCTAAGACACCATGACCAGCTTAGCTGAAAGAAAAAAGAATTCACTGGGGCTGACATTTTCAAAGGTGAGACCATAACCACCATGTCAGGATCATGAAAGCAGGTGGACAGTCATGGTGCTGAAGCAGTACCTGAGAGCTTGCATCTCATCATGTCAGGAGGCAGACAGAGAGCTAACTGGGAAAGGCATGGGGTTTGGAAACCTCAAAGCCCATCCCCAGTGACACACCTCCTCCATCAAGGCCACACCATCTAATACTTTCTAAACATTTCTACCAACTGGGGACCAAGTATTCAAATATATGAGCCAATGGAGGTTGTTCTCATTCAAATTACCACATACCTTTAGTCTCATATCCATCTGTACTTCCCACCCAGATACTTTGTGTGTCTGAAAACTATTTCTGGTATCACATATTTTAGTTCTAATTTTTTTCTGTCAAACTTCTATTTCAAAATGTATCCTTGGATCTTTAACTTGTCATCCTACATCTCCACCCCAAGAACCTGTCTCTTCATCACTCTTCAGAATCTTTAGCAATCACACACTCCATGTCTTTGTCTCCAATGTGTTGACCTCCTGCACACACCCCTGGGACTCAACCCAGGTTTTCCAAAGCTCCACCAGCAGACCCCAAGCTTCTACCTTGACTTCAGCCTGCATGCTCCATTTTCTGCTACAAAGTCCTTCATGGTGGTCATATAGAACCACTAGAGGAAGTTCCAAGTTATTCTTTGGCCAAAAAAATAAAATAAAAACCAGCATATTTAAGAGTGGGGTGGGTGGGATCTTCCCTCCAACTAACCTCAAAACCATCTCCCACTCATCACTTCCTGGAAGATGGATCAACGATGGTCATAAGATTTTGGCCAGAGAAAGCCTCAGCCTGATCCTCTATGGCCTCCCATATTGCCTCATGTCCACACAGGACAAGACTAGGCTGAAGCCCATGTAGAGTGTGACAGTCTCAAAAATTATTAAGGACAAGCCTTAATAATCTTCTTCCGAAGAGCTCAGAAGAGAAGCTACAAATGGCAAGAATTATTTTCAGGAAAAGAATCTAAGTACACCGAGCTCTTTTGTCTGTCTACTTTATTCCTCTCAGATAAAATTCTGTCTACATAGCCTCAATTCTGCTCTCATGCCGAGCTACTTTCTTGCCTGATTTCTCTCTACATTTATCTGCTGTCCCCTTTAAGTTCTATCTTAATTCTCTCATCTTAGTTCTGCCCCATCTAGGTTCTCATCCATTTAGTTCTTTCCTATCTTAACTCCTCTCCCATCAACTTCTTTCTCATCTTGTTCTTCCCCATCTGGCTCTTCCTCATCTTCCATCTCATTCCTCTAGTAGTCTGTTCTAGCTTTTCAATGTTCTTCCCCATCTCAGTTTGTTCCTCTCCAGTTCTTACCCACCTAGTTCTTCCATTCTCCTTCTCTTCTCCATCTAGTCCTTGCTCTGAAAATAAAACTGTCTTTTATCCCTTTAGCCCTTATCTCTCCAAACTATCTCTGCTCCCACATTTTCTGGCAGGATGGGGAGAAATGTGCTTGATCACTTGGCATCTTGGCTAAGCCACTTCCATAACAGCTGGATGTACCTGCAGGTAAGAATGGTTTAGTTCTGAGTTAATTGTTAAACGTTGATCTAAAACTGGAGATAAGACTTTAGAAAGGAGAAAGTTAAGCTTAATTATCACATCTGCCAAGCCTGTTCAAACAGATAGTCTGGATGCTTAAGTTCCTAGGGAGCACAGAGGTATCTCTGATCAGATACTTTTGTCCATCCAGGGATGGTCCTGGCCAGATGCTGCCAATGATGATAATTAATGAAGGCTTGAACTGGGGTTCTGGCTGTGCATAGCTGTTAGTGCAGAAGGTTCTCAAAACATTCCATTAGTACAGGAGAAGTTGTACCCAATGAATAATGGAAAAGCTACATTAGTTCATGAGAAATTCATGGCAGGAAATGGCTAATAATCAAAAGCCATTATCACCAAGACTCCTTGAGCCTCAGTGTAACCTCTTGAAGGCCCTTGGCTTCTTCCAGGTATTAGCTTGTCATAATCAGCTGAAATCCTACCTCATATATTTTTATGGCTTGTAGCATGACAGTATCTCCATATTTCTCCCTCAGCTGCAGAGGTAAGGCCCAGAACTCACAAGCTGACCATAGTGATGGGTCCTTCCTCTCTGGATCACACTCCCAAGGTTGTCTGGGTCTCATCAGGGAAGAACCTAAATTTGAGTTCTGTGGTTTCACATGACCATCTCTCTCATACCCTTCCATGGTCCCAGCTTTTCTGAGAACCTTCCCAACTTAGGACTTTATGAGATTCAGGGACTCCATGTAAGCAAATGCAGCTCTCAAGGATGGAGACCACATTACATCTACAGGCACCTATCTCCCCACCTACCTTCAAACTGTTCCTCCTCATAAGAATTCTAGAAGCTTCTCTAGTGCTACAGCAGGACTGGAAGAAGAATTGGAAAACTCCCAGCCTGATTTGGAGATGTCTGTTGAACCATGGACTTGCAACTCTTTGTTGCCTGTGAGCATCACTTCCTTCCTCCCACCTCCTGCCTCCTCATCCTGACCTCTTCCCCATCTCACCCCTTGGAAAGATGTGAGTAGCTCATGAGTCCGTTTGCAAAATGTTCTCCAGCAAAGGCAGAAGCCATTGTCCATGA